TCACTTTCACAGTAAGATGACTTTCAATTATTCCAAGTGGCAAAAGTTACTCCCCCCAAATATATATATAGGGCACACATATACAGAGCAGAACTCTACATTTTCCTGAAATGCATGCCATTTGCATCAAAACAACAGCTAAACACCGACACAATCTCTGCGAAATTCCTCCGATGCACGCTGACATGTTTTCACAGAGTGATCTGCTGAGCAGAAGAGATGCGCATCCTGCACGACCCCACGGTCTTGGGGAAGACTGGCCACGAAGCACGGGGACAGGACGCCAGCTGGGCGAGCACAAGAGCTGTCCTGGCGCGAGGAAGAACGGCAGGCTCGCACCTCGCCTGGCCAAAACACAGAGCAACACAGACGTGACCACTTCCTCCTGGGCTCACCTGCCACCCGCACAAGAAGTGGTTTGCAAACATGGTCATTAAGCTGCCTTTAACTCGGATCCTGCACAGAGACATAACGCCATAAATACAGCACGTGGAAGGATGACACGACTGAAAGGTTAAATACTTCGTTTCTTAAAGTACGCTGCAGCCTTCCTCCCAAAAAAACACAAAAATAAAGTCTGCTCATCTCTAAAAGAGTTCTTTATACACGTCCAAGCTAACATAATACATGGATAGAAGACTTAAGGCAAAGTTGCATTACCTGTCTTAACAGTGAAACTAACATCTCTTAAATCCTCCATATTTTTTTAGCTCCTCAGGATAATTACCACCCTCACTTCCCCTCCATCTATTTTTAAGTTCCACATAACCCTCACCTGGATGGGTGCTTTTAAAGCATTTTTAATCATTCAATAGCTCTCAGGGTAAAAATAGGTCACTGCAGGTGTTTGCTGGGCTGTGCACTGCTTTTGTGTTCGCCGTTCGAGAAGCGCTAGGGAGAGGACTCTCACCACGGGGCTGGTAAAGACCAGGTGTGCTCACATGGCTGTCAGGACTAAGGCAACAGCATCACCATTTGCCCCTCAGCACAAGGCAGTGCTGTTTTAAAAATCAATCTTCTTGAGCTTACAGCGAGGACCCAGACCCCGGCCAGCCCTCCGCACAGCGCCTCGGCCCTGCTGACAGGACAAGAGGGGCAGGCTGCCTGCCTTCCTCTCTCCCCGCTTCAAAGCAAGGATGTGCAGCAGAGAGTCAAGCTGATCAGCAACGGGCCCTTCAAAACTACAATATTTCTGACTCACATCTGTAAAATCACTCACAGAAACTGGAAACCCAGAATCAGCTGCTTGAGGTAGTATCTGTAATAGAAGAGCTGATAGGTGGTGCAGTGGTTAGCCCTGCTGCCTCACAGAGCTGTGTGGAGTCTGTATGTTCTCCCTGCGTCGCGAGTGTGTGTGTGAGTCCAGATTGTATCCTCCCGCTGCTCGCCGGGATAGGCTCCGGCTCCCCCGCAACCCTTACCAGGAGGAAGGGATGAGAAAATGGATGGCTGGATAAAGTGCTTATATTGGGAGGAGTCAGTTCAGTTCGACAAGTTGAGCATGCCACCCCTGGCAGAGAAACACACACCACGCTGGCTTGTGAGGGGTTACAGAACAATACTTTTCACGCAGACAACACTCCTGTGCACCTCAGCACTTTCCACGTTGTCAAGGTCTCTCTATTGTGCCGAAAGCCTCTGTTTAAAGTGGTGTCTATTAACAGACCACAACTAAAAAGTTCCCTTCTTTCCCAAGGATACAGTGTCATGTAATGACAATTACAGGGCTGTTTTGTCTCATACTTACTAGCTAAACAAGCTTGCTAAATCATAACCTTTTGGGAACAGTTCTGGAGTGTTTAATTAGGTAGTCTATTACTTCTTAGTCAGTGTAACATCAGCACTGTGAAATGAATGTCCTGGTTCACCTGTTACTGTTGCAACAGTTTTTGGTAGAACTGAAATCAATATCTAAGCCCACTGCCAAGCTACGTACAAAATCTGTGATCTGCAGAAAAGTTCATATGCTGGAAAGACTGCTTATTTGACACCCAGGTTTTCTAGCAGAATATGTGCTGCAAAATTTTAAACAAAGTTTAAGTGAAATAGCAAAGCTTGAAATGAAATCTGCACTTCTCAATAAACCTTGGGTAGGATTCTTTCATGTCAGCTTCTCACATTAGAGAGTGACTAGTTGCTTGCTCCCATGCATTAAAAAAAAACCGTGAACAAGAAACACTAAAATATGACAGAGAACAATGGACAAAAATGATTATGAAGCGATGCAGAATATAATCCACAGTGGAAAGGCACCGAACAGCCCAGAAGTGCTGAAACAGTCAAGACCGAATTGCATCACTGGACACAGTTTAAAACTGTCAGAGGTCCTTAAAGAGTTGAAGGATAAAACATTTATAAGGGATGTGGCACAAAGGTTTAGGTGGTGTCAACAGTTTCACTATTTTACCAGGTATACACAGGTAAAATATACAAATGTAGCTACAGATTCAAAAACAAATCGCTGACCACACCTGTGGTTAAGTATTAAAATTAGGCTCACCGCCCAGTCAAATTACTTATTACCTGAATAAGAATTAAATAAGGTAAGATAAATATAATTTCCGTGAAACTTTCAATTCCATAAGAGACATTACTTTGCAGTCTGGGTTTATCTAAGCAGACTCCTATCCAAGTTTTTTTGTACAAGATATTGTACAAGATACAAGATATTGTATCAACAGTACAAAAACCTTAAAAATGATCGAAACACCAAAGAAATCAAATCTCCAGTACCACAACCATTTCGATTTATGATTTTCCCTACTAACTGATTAAGGACTTGTTGCCAGTCTTTGCCCTGTAGGTGTTTCACTATTGGCTGCATGGTTAGCACTTGCAGACTATAACAGCACAGCAAATCTAAGGCAATGCGATCCAATCAATAGAAAGATCTATGTGAATAAAGTAAGAATGATTAAAATAGGACATAAATATAAAAGGGTCATATTCACTGTCCCATATTATACTTTGGAAATATATTCAACATATAGAAAAGTGACAAACAGACCCATTCACACCAGAAGGAAACACCAGTACAGCACAACTGTCCTCATCACAGAAAAACCCCTCTAGTGAACCTGCACAACGTAGAATCAATAATGTGTATTCCAGCACTCATTGCCACATGACACTACAAGATGCCTAGTTCTGTGATCATAACCTGGCTTTCTGAGATTTGCGACTGGGAGCTTCACAAGCAGCATTAAACAAATACACCCGAATTCCACAGACAATCCTAGTCAGGACAACTGCCACTAGAACTGCTGTCAGCTGGGAAGAAAGGCCACCTGCAGTCTGCAAACTTCATGTCCTTGTGGAAAAACTCCAGCACTATCTTTTGGGTGTCCACAGCTATGGTGAGACAAAATCAGGCAATTATTTTAATCCAAGCACCAACAGACACAAACAACATGCCCGAGCACTTACATTAAGTTAAAGAGTGGAATGTGTACTACAGTTCGATAAGTTCTTTCCCTGAAATTCAGTGCAGGAAGTTGCTATTTCTCTGTTAATATCTGGAATTCAAATTAAAAAAAAAGATTGATGCAATGTTCATTTTCTTCACGGGCAGTGAAACACCCCTAGGAGTCAATTAGACAGAATTCCAGTTCTTACAGTGTTGGAAAACGTCATTAAAATTGAGCGCCATAAATTAAAAGCATTATAAACTCCAGGCTCGGTTCACCACAATCTTCTGCATGCCTCGCTTTCTCCTCTTTTGCACTCATGTCAGGCCTGTGTTGAAAACCACTGTCGTCCCACTTCCAAAAGAAACACATGCATTTAAAAACTAGCTGAGCACTGCAGATACACCGTCTCAATGCGGGACCTACATACAATCTACACATCACGACACAAAACCATCACGAGTTCGGGAACAATGGAGGCTCACCACCAACGTAGCTCATTTTCAGACGTAACGAACCTAAAAAGAAAACAGTGTTTCCACGCCATCCGCAAGCCAAGGACGCGTTTGGTCACAGGGAAGAAACCTCCACACACACACACAAAAAAGAAAAACAAAAAAAACCAGCAGCCCGCACTTCAGCGCCGTAACCAAAATAAACCTGCGCCACACTGCTCGCAGGCAGCGGAAGACGAACCGGATCCAAAGTCGCCCTCAGCGGCTGAATTGCACAAAACCAGCATGATCGGACAGGAGACACTCAACGTCGCCTCCAACACTCCCCCCCCATACCTCAAAAATAATACTAATACCGACAATAACACACGGCAGTTGCCAGTCGTTCAGAAGACCCGCCGTCTCGGGGGGGTAGTAACTCCATGTCTTCAGCCTGTGACCGATCACCGGGGCTGCTGCCGTTTCCGCGGGTCCCGCCGGCTCGTCCCGACTGCGAGCCGGATTCATCTCATGTCCAGCTCATGCTCACGGACGGTGGGGTGGTGGAGGGAGGTTGACTTCCAAAGGCAGCGGCCGGTCTGCCACAAAGCCAGCCTGCGGAGCCAGGAAGCCTCCTCTCTCTCTCTCTCTGCGCGAAACGGGAAGCGTGTTTTCTCGGCGGCAGAGAGGCCTGCCTTGCGCGCTTCGCGTCTCCCGCGGGGGAGAGCGGGCCGAGAGGCGGAATCGCTCGATCACGCAGGGGGCACTTGTGCCGACACGAACCCTCTTCTCTCCTCTTTCTTTTTTTTTTTTTTTGGGGCGAAGCGCCTGCTATTTCAAAAGCAGAGGATCCACTACCGAACGCACAGATCTTTGAACTCTAGTGGCTGATGGGGAGAAAAAAAAAAAGAGAGAGATCTACAGGAATACACGCGTAGCTGAACAAAACGACTAACAGCAGCGTTGGTCGCGCAGACTCTTACCGATGTTGTAATCGAGGCCTGTGAGGTCCCGTTACGAAGGAGCCTGTATACAATTTCTATAGATCCGAACATGGCCTCCTCCTCCTGTACTCAGTGAGTCAGGATTATTCACAAAACATTTCGCACTCGGGAGCAGGGAAAGTGGAAACGGGGTGGTGGGGGGAAACCAATCTTACCATCGCCCGACCGCCGCCTGCCCTTCACTCCGAATCATGGAAATGCGCTCCGGACGGGGATCTTTCTCTGTTTTCGCCACTCGTTTCTTGACAGGATTGGGATTCCGTTTCCTCCAAAGCTCTCTACCCCCTCCCTCTCTTTCTCTCTCTCTTTCTGTCCCTTAGCTGCGTTGCTCTGAGCGGCGGATCTGATCCGCCGCTTCTGCTGCGGTGGAGGAAAAAAAAAAATAATGACGTCGCCAGGAGGTGTTCGGCGAAACACGTCCCCCGGTGCAACCGCGAACCCCAAGACAGAGAGTTCCGAGTACAGCAGCGCACCCGGGTGTAAGGTTTTCCCTGTGTGCGTCTGTGTCTTTTGTTGTTGGATTTTTATTGGGTTATGATGCAAAAATCCCCACCACCGCCTATATTTTGCACGGTAACGGGACGGTGTCACGGTGCAACGTTTTTACACCGCGGTTTTGTGACGCAAGTGCAAGCTGATGAATCGTGATCTCCACGGCAGCCCCGAGGAAGCTGCCAAGCCAGCGCCGGCCGCCGCCACAGACGAGAAATGTTCCCAGCTAAACCCCGGAGTCTCATCTGACTGAATCCTTGATGTGGAAAAAGTTGGATTCGTGCCGAATGGCGCTGCATTCGTCTTGCTAGTCTGCATAGCAACACGCTACCCACTCTTCTTGCTCTCAGCTCGCCTGAATACAAAAATAGACCGCGACTCCCAGCACTCAAGTGGCGATATTCTTCATTGTTGTCTTTGCGGAATATGGAAGGAGGAAGGAGGAATGAATAATGCATTCCCTGTGCCATTTCTGCCTTGATGTAACGTGTGAATCACAGAATCTCACGATTCAGATGCAAGGGGCCATTCAAATACCAGATAATAATAATAATACTGTAACGCATACGGCCGACAAGCAGTGTGTGTAAGAGTTTTGGGTGATTGTGCACCGGTTGTAAAATAAACATCATGCAATCCATAGCCTCACAGGTACGTGGGGCCGGTGTATACAGAGAGAACAGACTGAAAACAGCCCCTGTCCTTGAGAAACTCAAACACTTACATCGCCTCTCGATACATCTCCCATTTTCACCCCCAAAATGGGTTTATTCACCCTTAGAAAGGAAAACGATTTAAGTAACGGAGTAGGCACACCCGCGCGTTTTCATCTGCTACTGAAAAGGAGACCAGTTGTCATTTGAAGTCGTACTTTTCCACAGCCACAGTCTGCAGAGCACGTTCAGGAGGTTTTGTATTGAATCTTAGCGTTGTAAGCATCACTAACATTTGAGAAGAATCCCGAACAATAACAATGTATCAGATCTCCTGCATAACCAGAGGTATCGAATGTGTTTTCCCTGCTTCCCTGACTTGCTCAATGTCTTGGCTTCCCCTATCAGTGAGTACTGCTCAGCTGAAGCACAGTCACAGAACTGTATTTAGCAGCGGTCATCAATATTGACTACCCGCCCGTTAAATCAGTTAATTCCCTGAATAAGAACTCATGTTAATGGGAATGTTTGTTGTTGCTCACAGGGATGAACCAGCGTGTGATTGTCTTTGAGAAGATATCATCAATAGTTTCATGACTAGTACGTGATTTACATGATGACGGCCGTTGTTTCAGATTCATTGGCTGTTTACAAAAGAACTTAGTGAAACACACCTTTTCATTGAAGCCAGTATGGCTTCACTTTTCTTAAAGCTCTACAACTGGGCAGGGTACGGAGCTCATATTACAAATCTATCAATGTTATATAAAACACATAGTTTCCATGAAGACTGCACAAATAAAAAAACAAACAGAAAATACCGTTAATATAACATTTACAGTATTTGCTATAATGTAGCTAGATGTTTGTTACATAATTGCAAAAAAAGCAAATATGTGATTAAAATCTGTTTACATTAATTAATGTTCATCTGCTAATGACATCCCCACCCTACATTTTACCATGCTAATGATATTAGATCATTAACAAGATATTCTTTTGGGTCCCTATTGATACCTTTATTGTCAGTGTTACTAAAAAATATAATAAACAGTATTATTGATATCAGTTATTATTGGTATCAAGATCCTGTTACTCACATCTTACGAGTGTGGACGCGAAGTGTTTGTGTGAGCTGTTTATGTTTCCTATAATCATTGTACCTAGTGTGGATAGTGGATAGTGTAATTAATAATAAATGTAATAAAAATACCATGTAATAATTTTGCATTACTGCTGTAAATATCTTTATTCATTCAGAATCAACAGAAGACAACAAAACCCACATATCTTCCAAATTAGATCAGCTTAAATGTCTCCATTCATTTTCTATCCAGTTCAGGGTCACAGAGGAGCCGGAGCTCTTTCCAGCAATCAACAGGCACAAGGCAGGGTCCGCCCTGGCTCATCACAGGCAGACACACACACTCACACCAGGACCAGTTTCCCAGAGCCAATTAACCCAACAGCATGTCTTTGGACTGTGGGACATAACCAGAGCACCTGGACGCAACCCTCACGAACACAGGAAGAGCTTACAAACTCCACACAGACAGCACCCTGAGTCTGGAGTCAAACCCAGGGCCCCAGCGCTGCATGGCAGCAACGTTGACCACTGGGCCACACTGTATTACAAGACATGACAATTAACGGCGGGGCTGCAGCTCTGCGGCCAAGGATCTGCCCCTGTATCTGGAAGGTTGCCAGTTCAAATCCTGTGGCTGGGAGAGGAATCCTCCTCCTTTGGGCCCCTGAGCAAGGCCCTTCACCCCAGCTGCTCCAGGGGCGCTGTATAAATGTCTGACCCTGCGCTCTGACCCCCAGCTTCTCTCCCTGTCTGTGTGTCTCATAGAGAGCAAGCTGGGGTCTGTGAAAAGATATATTCCTAATGCAAGAAACTGTATATGGCCAATAAAGTGATCTCTAATTCATACAGAAAAGATGTCAACCAAATGTTTTTAATTAATTACTTAGCAAATACATTACAATGCATAAAATTAATACTGCAACTTACATACAAGGTCAGAATGTCATCCATAAATTCAAAACTTGCAGAATTAATTTTCCAACCATATAGATCAACATGCACTGCCAGTTAACTGCTACATCAACCTGTTTTCACTGATATTTACTGCACATGGAGCTGGTAGACACTAGTGCTACGCTCAACTGTATCGCTCTAAATTCAGTTTAATGTTATAAAGAAGTGAGCCACGATTAGCAGACTTAAATATAAGAGTATTCACAGTTCTATCTTTATTATGTCTGTCTAGTCAGACTTTTCAACTCACCAATAAACTTTCATAACAGGTCTTAGTTAAGATTTGTGAATAGAATTAAAAAAAAAAACATGTGAATACAAATAAAGCAATTAGTAAATGCAATTATAATCCCAGAATGTGATGGCTGATTTCCGTAAGGGAGAGTCTCAGTCTTCCACGCAGAAGAAACCTGCCACCAGGTTCGGCTAGTTTGCAACGTGCAGCTGATGAGTGTGGAAAGGTTTGGCTTTGCTTCCGATCGTCAGGATCTCTCTGCATTTCAGCTGAGTTGATGTGCATTCAGCTGCTGGCAGACAACAAATATACACGGGCTGTTGCTTGAGTGGCACTTCAATTTCCTTGGCTCAGTCGCTATCATCACAAAGTGCTGTTTTCTCCCTTCTGCCTCCTAAACATGGATGAGAAGAATGATCTATTCGATCCACATTTTGAGTTTAGATCAAATTATGTCTCTGCAAATGTTTGGCCTTCATAATTGCTTCCATTGCTGGACAAATGGTTTTAGGAACTGGATAAAATGTCTTGCTAATGAGCTCAAGCACATGCAAGCAGGAATCAAACGGTTTCAAATTAGTCTGCGCAGGCGCAACATCTTACACCGAATAATACCTGTTCAACATCTAAACACGCTGGAGTGTGTGTGCGGTGTGTGTGTGGAGGGGTTGGATCCTAAGAATAGTGAACGATGAGCGATGAGTCCAGTAGTGATGTGGATTCCAGACTCCCATGACTGGAGCTCTGCCGTGCCGTGTGGTGATCCTGCTGCTGGCCAGCCAGTGTATGTCGGCTAGAACTATTGAATATATAATCGAGGTAGAAAATAGATGAAATATAATGTTACTTAAAAATAACAGACATCACTCCCTGGAGCTGGGAAATGTTCGCAGTTGTACATGTCCTGTAATGTTTTTTTTTATGGATGAGACGCTATTGGATACTTTTTTTTTTTCTTCAGGATGTCATTTGGGAAACTCCACCAGCACCACTGGTCTGCTGGTCTGGTCCACCAACACTACTCGCAACAGCAACTTGGTTTTCCTTAGTGGTCTCCCGTCCCAGCACTGCCCAAACACACCCTTGTTCAGCTTTCACAATCATACCGGACTGAGTCAGCTTTTTAAAAATCTCTTCTCTACCTTCCACCAGATGTGGAAATTCATTACTCTCTGCTGAAACATCTGGAACCTGGGCTGCATATACAGTAATTAGGACTAACAAGCGCCGTGTTCCTTTCCAAAAATATCCCTGATCTGCAGTGATATAAAAGTCATTCTCACCCAATTAACATGTTCAGTTTGGGCACCACTTTAAGTCTGAGCACAAAGGTCACCTCTAATTATGCTGCATCAGTTATAGCTCTGACGAGGGGGGTTGTAATTTTGAGGGCTCAACATGTCTGTAGATTGTTTGAGCCAAGATTATATCTCTGCATCACACTATAGACCCATTCTCTAGTAGTGCCCACCTTGTGTACTCCTTCGTGCTTCGGTGCTGTTGTACTATAGAGCACATTATTCTTTCAGGCCCTTGTCATCGTGCTAGAAATTTAAGACCGACCTTTTCACTGATACAGTAGCTCCACAAACAAAATCCTTCACAGGATTAGGATCTGGATTTTTTTCCATCACACTACAAGCAACACAGTGCTGACGCTAAAAGGAAGGTCGGTGTTAGTCCTTTTAATTACTTGTATTTCCACACGTTTTTATTAATATTATCAAGCAGCTTAAAGTGTATTTTCTGTGTCCACAACACGGCCATAAGCTCATTTTGTAAATCTAGAATGAGCTTTACAGTTTTGACTATTTTTAAAACTGCTTTTTCCGTTTTTATTATCTCCTTAATCAGGCATCTGGACATGAAAATGCAGTATATCAACCTTAATACAAGGTCTTAATACTTACAGACCAGCAATTTATTTGTTTAAACATGAATTTTAATTGCTATATTTTCAGTGGTATCAGGTCATGGTGTAATAAAGTAATTATTTACGAAATCATGCGTCCGTTTAAAAACAAAGAAGGGGAAGGTTTCAGACTGAAGCGTATTGTCTCCACCTGGTGGTCTAAAACTTAATTTACTGTGAAGTTTAATTTATGTTAAAATTAAGTTTTAACTTTGCTTGATCGATCTTGAGATCACAGGAATGTGTTGATTTGTGCACTGATCTTTAACAAAAGCCTCAGTTAAATCATCTGTTTTCCACATTCACGATTTTATTTTCAAAACAATGGACAAGATACGCATGCCTCTTGTCTGTGTGCGCACCCCCAAAGAAGGCCATAATCACAGTTAACTGTTTTAAACCCCTGGGCACCGGCCGTCCTCTGGGGTATATCTGAACACCCTGACTCGCACGATCTGGACGCGTGTCACACACTCTACTCCAAAGAGAATGGCCTCTGCCTGCGGGAGGCTTCTTCGAGAGCCTCAGGGAATGACGTCACTCTAACACTGCCCTTTTACACCTTGAAGCCCCGTTCGCAAGCAGACAAAAGGCAACAAACAACAAAAACAGACATCACTTCTGAGGAAAAACGGATATATGCCAGAATTCAAGTGCTTCCTCCCGATAAAATAGTGTCAAAAGCATTTATAACCCTAGGGTGAGGTAGTATTAAGAACATGAATTTTGGCACAACGTGTGTTATGGGTGGCATTTCACGCACGCTCGCCGTGGAGTTTGTAATCCTCCCGGTCACACAGATATTCTGAAATATGTCCTTATCCAGAGTTTCCGTTCTATCCTTTTTTATTTTATCCATGCCGACTAGTCTCGGACGACGTAGCTGGCAAGTGGCCACGGTGCGAGGAGTTTGGCAAGCGCAGCGTCGACCACATGATCAATATAATTGTCAGTAAGTAATATGGCCTTGAGGATCTGTGGTGCCCCAATTGCTCGGTTATGAGATCTCCACGGTCTTGCCCCAACACAGTAAAGGTCACAAGCATTTTACACTGGTGCTAGCCTCTGACCGTGGAGCAGGACGTGCGATTGGCGCCGAACTAATGAACCATGTCAATGCCGATCGCGGATCTGCATTTTTTAACAAGTTATTTTATTATTTTGTTGAGCTGGTTAAAGAAACAACTCCATAATCAAAAGCCATTTATCTTTCCTTAAAATCCTATCACCGGCACGACGGACGAATTATTCTGGAGGCCGGTGGTCGATGACCTCAATTTCTGCGCACAATTCCTCTGGATCTGCATGCTGCGCAAAGTTTGCCACAAGGTGGCTTTGCGCGCTAAGTTATGACCGAAGGAATCACTTCAGCGGCTCACCAGCGGTGTCTGCTGTGTTACAACAGCGACCCACCCTCGATGAGAAATGGCAACAACCTTGAATGGCTACTGCAGTTTCCAATTCAGATAAATGTAGTTCTGCACTCCCCCTGGACCCTGTATGTTACACATACCACTGTCATTGGACACCAGATGTAGCTCGGTGTACATTAATGTATTTTGGTTGTGTGTTCTTTTATAAATTAAAATGTTGCAACACACGAAACACAGATGATAAAATTAATGATTGAGGTGGTACGCCTCACTTAGCTCGTTAGCGATTTGTCTTATTGCTCAGTTAACCCTGTTTTTCAAAATTACACAAGCAGACGTCTAATATGAGAAGCATACCCCACGGCAGGTTTTTATATCTACTGTATATAAACATTGGCCACTCTGGATACCCTTTCACAAAGCTATATTACTGAATTTCTTTTAGAATAAAAAGAAAAATGAAGTTTGAAGGTTGCAGCAAAGCCGCATTAAAATACTAAATATTCTTAGTCAAACCAGTAGCATTTCCGAATTTCTAGCGCTCTTTGGCATTTATACCGCGCATTTCCAGATCCTAAATCTACCGTTACAAATTTATGGACCTGTAATAATTTTTTAAAAAATTTTTCCCTTCACATCTCCAATGATGCCTAGCTTATTCCCAGAGGGATTCCTCTAGGCATGAAGGCTATCCTGCATACATTTTCTGCTCGGAAGAGTAAATGTTTCAAAGAATTATTTAAGCACACAAATAAAAATCGTATTGTCAAGACGTTACAGTAATCAGACACATGCCGCTGTATTCTCCACGTTTTAAAGACTCTTGACAACTGCAAGTCTGTTTTGGTAACAGTTTTGCTCAGGGACAAGTTGAATGACACAAGGAGGGAATAAACTGCAAACGTGATTGCAAAGGTCTGTACAAAAATAGATACGATGATGTGACAAGACACGGAACTACAGCCACGACGAAGGGCAAACAAGACAAAATTTAATTCAACAACTTCTTAAGACGTCGACAATCTCCAAACTGGGATGTTTGCCCTGTCCTGCAATGAGGAATCCAGCAAGCACGTTACACGTTTCTTCGACATTTCCAGCCGAGCAGAATAAAGCCAGAGAGCAAATGTCTTCTTCCATCACGCGTGGCCACCGAACACACTAGACTCTAGACTAGGCTGAAGAAATGTGATATCATTATCAATAGAGTAACATCTCTTGTATCAGCACTTTGACATTTTCTTCAAGTCCTGTGTCCTGGGTATTGAACGGTAAGTATCTGAAAAAGCAGACTCAGCCCCTGCTGATAGACCCAGAGGAATTTTATTATGAGATGAGTATCTGGAGTATTTTGAGGACACGGATGAAACTGCTAATTAAAAAAGTGCTTAACCTGTGTCAGTTTCTTCTTCACGGAGGGGTTTTAAATGCAACATAAGTGTAGAGGAATTTCTCCGACATCTACGTATTTATGTGATTGTCATTATTAGTTTTTGATAAATTATGAGCAGTGCAAAGATTTAAGTTAACTGTATTAAATAAATGTGTCGCTGTATTATTTCATTAGCCCAATTAGCTATCCGGCAAACAAAGGGACGTTTGTCGTTAGCACACTTACAGCTCCACACACTATGCTTATCACAAATATTAAGTCAAATCATCCAATCATTATGAGTTACAGACTAGGATTTAACCTTTTCATCCAGAGTGGGGTGCAAATAACCGCCTCTGAATGTCATTGGAGCCTTCATCATTCATGAAATGATCTCAGACATTTCGAAATGTGTTTGGTTTCGGCAGCAGATAAGATAAGGTCACTTTATTATCCATATACAATTTCTTGCATTAGGAATTTGTCTTTTCGCAGACTCCTGCTTGCTCTCCGTGAGACACACAGGCAGGGAGAGAAGCTGGGGGTCAGAGCGCAGGGTCAGCCATTTATACAGCGCTCCTGGGTCGCAGCTGGGGAGAAAGTCAATACCTCAACTTCTGCCGATCACCTGTCCACGAGTGTATCAGTGCGGGGCTTTCCTTCCCAGCAGTCCTTGCTGAAGCCTCCCAGCATCCCTTTGGCTCATTTTGTTTCTGTGTGGGGGCTCTGATGTCCTCCTGTCCTGGAGCTGTTTTGGCATCTCCATTTCTCTTGCCTACCGCTGCTAATGTTTTCTGCGCCGACTAACCTGGCCCTGAATTCGGCTGCTGACGCCGCGGTTCCTCGTCTCTCCCAGGGCGGGTGGGCTGCTCTCCAGGGGTGAAGCGCTTTGGGATCCTGTCGCATGGCACACCCCGGATCAACACCACCAACCCACAACCTCCCCGCCGTGATCAAATAAGCCGTCTCTTTAAAGGTGCCAGAGCGGGACTGCAGGAAGACTACTGACCTGGAGAGACGGGCGCATTCTGATCATTTGGCTTGCGTGGTCCGTAAATATTCACAGCCTCTGTTCTCTCTCCCTCGTCTTTTCTGTGTCCACCTACTCGTTTGCAGGCTGCCTGTCCTGCTGGCTGTTGTGCCCTCCTCCCCCCAATTCTCCGGCTACCGCTCAGCCCCAATTCCCAGAGCAGGGCAGGCACCAGCCAGCCTGCCAGCTAGCGTGCTCAAGATAGGGGGAGGAGGCTGATAATCGACTCCCAAAGGCCCACCTGCACAGCAAGTCAAGAGCACCCCGCTGACACAATCTCATCCGCCCTTCGCACTGCACATCTAGACGCATGTATTCGGATGTTGCATTTTATAAATATATATAGATTAGTGACAGGGGTTATCTTGCATCTCTTTCTAGGTATATACCAAAGAGCGGCACGGGCGCAGTGGATCATGGACATGAATATTAATTAGCCTGTCGTCCAATCACAACGCGACCATTCACTCTCCATTCACTGCTCTTGTTCTATTTGTGCTTGAAGCTCCGTCTCCTGCAGCATTCTGATTGAACGGAGAAGCGATTAATATTCATACCCATGATGCTCTTAACTCCCGCCTTCTTCTTAAATGGTGTTTATTTTATTATAAATACAGTCAGTGCCACATATAAATTTATGCAATAAGAGGGATGTTTTTTAATTTGATTGCAATAAAAGGAATCAACGTCAGCTTTTCTGCCTTTTGGCTAAAACTGAGACTTTATTTTATGCCAATAATTCAGCATTTTCTATGCATGTTATACAAAGTTAATAATAAAAAGCGGTAATATTGTTTAATGCAACAGACAACACAGGTCACAATTAATTTATGGCAAGGCTCTTTTAATGTTGTTACTTTATACCAAACCACATTACATACTCCAAATAAGGCCTGACAGATTATGTAAGCACTTTAAATAAATAAAAATACAAACTCCACTCATCTCTTAAAGAGACGACAACTCTCTTGGATGGATTTGGGTTTCAACAATAATGATCTTCACTTCTGTCTTCTGACGATTAAAATATTTCTGTCCACTAACAGCAGCTCTGCCCTTTTTTCCTGTAAAATGTATTTCCTTTTTCATCTCTTCTAAATCTTAGGAAGAGTCTCGTTACCCAGATATGTTTTTTTAATAAATATAAATAAACTGCTCGTGATTTGCTTGCAATTGATTTGTCTGTCATCACTGCTTAGAAGTGGAACCATTCAAATATAATAAAATGATTTATTTAGTTTATTCAGTAGCACTTTTTTAAAAAAGGGTTTAATTCTGCCTTGTCTCCATTATTGGAAAGTTAAAAAATATCTCCTACAGAGTATATATGTGACCTTCACTAGAGTCTACAATACAGTATGTACAGAATTCCACATAGTGGTCATGCTGCCATTAAAACTGGATGGAGAGCATGGATACACAAGCAACAAACCACAGTCCTCTTGTCTTAAAATCGTTCAGATAAACCTGTAGTTATGATGATCAGGCTTAGTGATGAACTATCGCCCTGCCCAACAGAAAACATTGTTAACAGACTTTGCTTTGTCTGGCTTAACTGTATTCAAGTAATATAAAGAAAAGGTTTTTAAGGATAAACTATGATGGCTGAAAGTTTTACATACATAATAGTTATACTTTGTGATATATATTTTTTTATTTTTCTGGATAGAACCACTTAAACTTCAGATAGCTTGGGTTTTGTTTTTTAATTTCTGCCCAATGGAGAAATGAGAATTAAAAAACTATGTGGAGAATCATTCCTTCAGATGGATTTTGAAGAGGGAACAGCATGCCTCTTTGTTCTGCCTAATTCAGCAAGTCCTTACTATCCTAATCAAGACAGTGGCACGCAGTGAAACTTCATTTTTCCAAAGCCAAAACAACACACGCCCTCTTGGCTCCGATAACGTGTTTTGCAAGCCCACAATAGCCAAATGACATTGGCTTAACAAATTAAAAATGATGACCTAAAATCCGCAATTTTATATTTTTCTACCCCGGCTGCCAGCGACTTTAAACGTGAGACTGTACAAATCTCGGATTAATCCCACAGGGCAAATTCTTATGCCTTTATACTCGCCCCCTTCCAAAAACAGCTTTAACCCAGGATGCATGATACTCAGATGGGGCTATAATTATTTACAAAATTTCTCTGTAGAAAATATATATACACATTGTGAAATCAAACACAGATTTGTCTTAAATAACCACTGTACAAATCCAGCTGTGCTGTACTGATTGTGTCCTAACAGTATGTGTGATTTTAGATAATTAGGGAAAACAAAACAATGAAAACAATTATCCCAGGTCTGACTAGTGACAGAATTTCAACTAACCTGTGCAATACTCTTCCTACAGTTCTCATATGAAAACTCATTAACTATTGCACACCTGCAGACTTGTGTTTGATTGTAGGCCAGTATGAACAACTAGCTGAATGTATAAAACTGTAAGACTGACTCTCAGGTATATATATTGTAACGCATACGCCCGACAGGCACTGTGTAAGAGCCGGCTCACCAGAGTGGTGACGTCACCGCCCTTCCCTGTGATAGCAGGACCACAGCCACCGGGCTGGGGAGAGATCTCTTTAGCTCACCAGGCTGGGTCCCTGTTGAGTGAAGCCGGAGGCCCGAGTTCGTGCCCCTGACGGTGCAGGGCCGACCTGTGTAGGCAGCAGGCGAGGGCGCCCACCTGAACCCTGTTGCGTTACAATATTTTCAGATCAACTAATAACACAAGCCCTAATATTAAAAAACAATACTTTGTTTTTTGTGAAAAACATAAATAAAGCAGCACATAAAAATCTATCAATGCACAACTGTTAGTTCTTTAGTTGCTCTTTTTTGTGGCTTGTTGCTATTTCTGGAGACAAACCCAAGATTGATACCTCCAATAGATCTGTTAAAAACAACAGATCCAAATTAAAATAAGTGGGAAACTATAATGACATCATTCCTATACAGACCTCAAGTGCCCTGGCTGATGGAACATCTGTCTTGGACGTGAAAGACAAGGGATTTAGTTATATGTCTAACAGAATTAAAGAATTTAGGCTTCTTAAGAAATAATTGTGGTATGTGTTAAAATGCATTGTCATATAATTTCCTGCCAGTACTTGTGAAAGGACAAACGTCTTCCCTAGGAATTGGAAGTAAATCTGCATTAAAAAAAAAGTAATGGTAATGACGGCACAGATATGAGCTTTAAAATCGATGTTTCAAAATGAAGAGAGAAAATTTGAGATCAAAATAAAAAATTGCATTTTGGGGTCATGCTGCTCCTTTTTTCCACCTCTGTGTAAACTAGCAAGGAAACACTGATACGTTATAATTAGCATGGGATAAATGTATCAGGAAATTGACACTGTGTGACTAATGCCGTCTGCAGCCCAAGCAGATAATCTGTCTGCTCGGTGCAGGAGTGACGTGTCCAGAGTTTTTAAGTGACCTTGAAATCAGACTTGCTGCTCATCACAGAGGTGTCTAGACCTCTCATTCTTAACTGAGCTAAAGTGTCAAGAACCAGGGCACTTCAGTCCATTATCTGCTCTGTGTGGGTCACTGCTGGAGGTCCAACATTGATCCGGTTGTGTGATGAGTTTGTCACAAATGGACATTAAAAACTCAACCTAGAGTTCCACCAAGCAGAGAAAGCCCCTGTCTTGTTGTAGGCAATCCATTTTCAGGACTTTCACCTTTCTGTTTCATCCATATTTTTGCTTCACTGGAATTACTTCAGTCAGCAGCAGGTCCAGAACCCCAATATCAATACAAACAATACGAGGAACAACTACAGGAAAGATCTGAAAATTAAACAGAGAGCACAGCATTTTCAGTAGCACTCTCAGCAGGACATTAAAAGGAGAACCCAAATGCAGTTACTGTGAATGTGTTTTTTAGCATATAACAGAAACATATTTCGGAAGAAAAAGCCTTTTAAAAATTCCAACACCACTTATAGTTATCAATAACAGGTACTGTATGAATTCGCAGGGTGGGCAGATGAGAAAAAAATATTTTCCTCTTAAAATAAATGAACTCTGGGTTTTCCTGTTAGAGCCTACAGGCTGCTGTGAAGGGGCTACAGTCCCTTTCTTTCTCCAACAAGATGAATAATCTTGTTTCCACAATACACTCATCTTTTGTGCACAAACACTCCGCCTTGTTGTGGAATCATTGCTTCCCTGTTGATTCCTACTGTGGGCTTGGCTGAAAGAGGGCTTCAGCTACAGTAGGCGCCAGTGCTGTCCGTAGTTACGTTCTTGGTCTGAATTTTGCCATGGAGACACATGAGGCACGTGACAATGGAGACACGTATGGCCTGCTCACAGGACGGAAACAGAAATTGTTCTGGTGAAGCACAAGCTAGGAGATTGTTGCACTCCTGGTGGTCAGCTGGTATATCCAAGATCCACCTGATGTAGGATTACAAACAAAAACCAATCTGTTGTCGTTATACTACAGGTATGAGAGGGAAACTGACCCTGACGCAAACCAGGAGTTTGTTGTCACTGGTAATGCCAGCAGTTCAGAACCCACAGTGTTTCCTTATTCCCCTCTACTCTCCACCTGCAGTTTCCCTTGGGTGGAAAGCTAGGATCGTGATCATACACACAAGCACAGTCTGCAGCACGGATGGGCGAGCTATTGGAAACTGGGGGAAAATAGAGGCATATGCATTTGAGAGCATGGAGAACAAGTGTTTTATTTTTTACAATGTCAAATTTAAAACGGAAGCTAAGAGTTACATGTAACTCGGCATTTAATCGACCAGACACGTGCGGAGTGCCTGTTTGCACTGAAAGCCAAGCTGTCGCAGTCGGGATTCAGTGCAGGTGATTATCAGACTAAAAAAAACATCAAAATGTTCTTATCAACCTATCAAGAAAGAGCCACCCCTGAATAAAACTTCAAATAAAGCCAAGGAAGCCGGTAACTTGACAGCAGACCGCAATTGAAGCAGTACGGGTCGAAAGGAATATTTTTTTTAGAATCAAATAAGATTGTTAAAAAAAGATAAAAGGTTCAACATTGAATTTCTTTCACTAAGTGGTTATTATAATTAGGCAAGGATAGAAGAGTAATGGACTGTAGTGGCTTGTGAGCACTAGTAGATCTTCATATTGCATTTGTTTGCATGCAATTTGTAAAATAAAAGTACACGTATTTCTTGATTCCAAGGTGTCCTTCTAACGGAATTATTCTGAGGTCTTCTTAGACCCTCATATCTGTACAGTGAGAAGTCACACAAAATGAAAGGCTGGGAGGCCCCTTGGAATGAGCCAAGTTCTCGCAACAAAACTTCCTCTGTAGACGTGTACGGTGCAGGACAACGTTTCATGGAGAATTCACTCTGCGGTTTGCAGACTCCCCCCCTCTGCCCAGATTCTCATGTGGAAGAATAACCGGCCGTAAAATTCTTCGAATTGCGCCGAGATAGAGAGCGAGAGAAAACAAACACCAAAAGCTGCGCTTACTGCTCTTCTGCGCCTTTCAGAGCCCAACAGTAATGATTCCACAAGAGAGGGTACAAAAAAATTGGAGTTTTTGGCCGCTGAAAATACAGAATCGTATGGAGTCCAAAAGAAAGAAACGGTGCATTGAACGCTTTCAAATTTCTGTAGCATGCCAGTGACCTTCTCTCAGTCATGACTGCAACACCCTATAAAATACAATCTAAATGTCATTTTTTGTAAAGTAAATCTCTATTTTATACATGTATTATGTTTTAAATAAAAATATTTACACAGGGCATTTGGCATACATTGTTTTTTTAAACACTTTTCTCTTGAATGTACGGAATACTAAGTTTGGAAGCTTAAGGACGAAATTTGCTTAAGTGCTGGCAGTCCATAAAGATGCAAAAATCGGTTTGTCTTTCCCTTTAGAAAAAGGTGACCAATTGAGGAATTGGCTGACGACTCTGTTTCACTGTTGGTTCAATTCCTTTCTCAGCTTGAAAAAAAAAAAAAAAACACGTCCAGAATGGTAAGCCTCCAGATTTTCAGTGCTTAAATATTCAAAGGACTCCTCAAACTCTCAAACACAACGTAAATACGGTTAGAGACAAGCCAGTCACAATGCGCAGTTCGTCTTCAGTCGCCTCCGGTTGCTCTTTCTCCTTCCCGATCTTCCCCAACTGGCCCTGGCAGCGCTGTGATAGACCCTGCCACCCCACCCACCCCTCCCACCCACACCGCCCTGCTGCTGTCCCGCTAGATGAACCACTCTTTCTTGCTCTCGTCGATGGTCTCGGTGAAGTTGGGGTCGTGGCCGATGATGGCAGCGTCGGCGTTGTCAGCGGACTCGGCGCCCTTGGCCTCGTTGGTGTGGTAGGTGCCCTTGTGGCGGAACATGTAGCGGATCAGGAACACCAGCGTGCACAGGATGGTGAAGATGACCACCGCGATGACCCCTGCGGGGGACAGCAAGACTGGCTTTGAGGAACGGCGGCGCCCCCGCGCCCCGCCCGCGGCGCTCACCGCCCCAGCCGCGGGGAAGGAACCGCGCTCTCAGCCGGCCGCCGTGGCGACTGCAGCGTCTGTGTACGCGGAGCCGCGGCCTTCCCCCAGTGCACTCTGGGATCGAGGCAGCTGGGCAACCTCTGCGAGAGCAAACCGTGGGCGAGCTTCTGGTGCTTTCGATTTCACTGCAGTTATATTCTCCATCATCAGTATCACGTCAGCTGACGTTTAATGATAACATCTAGTATATAATGCTGCTATAATGTCAAATCACATTCACTTTGGGGGTAGATTAAGCTAGAGTAGTATCCGTTTTCGTTAGGACGCAAATTGTGTGTCTGTTTGGCGTGTTTAAGGCGTTTCAAATGTGTTTTGGGATTATCTGAGCAGAATTAAGAATTCTGTTTTCTGTTTTTTAGGCCTATATGAAATAAGACTCTGGAACACACTGTTTGTAAACAGCGGACTTTAGCGTAACCTTTGTGAAACAGTTATTTAGAGTTGCAATTATTATTAATGGATATCTGTTTGTCCTGTCTGTTAAGGTTGAGCCTGTTTTATTACTCTCTCACCAGAGCTTATCCACAGAATAAAAAAGTACTCACGTGCCTCACATTTTACATAACACCCAGGTTACTGCTAGTTTGTAACAATATGATATGTAATATTAAAACATACAATAGATACTCTAGAAATGTAACTTATTTTTGTCACAAGCCTGTGACAGACTGACTCTATACATTTTTTTGAGCTGCAGGTACAAATACAGTAGCAGAGCTATGTAACGATTCCTCTCCAACGCTTTGTCCAGATTGCTAGACAACATACCTCCAATGATGGCAGAGTTTCTGTTGACTCCATCTGGTATCACCCTTTCTTCATTAAAAGGAAAATCGGCGCTGGCTGCAAGATTAAAAGAATGTTATGGCTGAGTCTGCAGAGGGAAGAGAGCACAGGCTATGAACAAGAAGAGGTGTAACTAACTCGATTGACCACAGTTGTAATTTTTCTCAATGGATTTGTGTTGTTACCAGGTTTCCAAGCCGACATCACTGATGATGCTTCTTAATCAGAGCTCCAGGAGAACTAGATGGGGCAGCTTGAACCCCGATGAGAAAGTGTAATACTGAAAGACAGAGTCTGGGCTGAAGGAGGTGGACACAGATGCACACGAGCGGCAGGAACAGGGAGTCACGGCGCCCAGGAAGAAACCCAAAACAGCCCTCCCTTGGCAATAGACCCGTCTCAGACAGAAAAACAAAGTGAACGGCGAAGTAGAGGAGGGGGAAATGAGCAGCACGAGCTGACAGCACGGCTTCCGAGCGCCTGGCAGATGTCTGGAGTGGGAGTGGAAGAAGTGACCTGGGTAAGAGTAATTCCCTGGGCGACTGGCACGGCCCTGCCGACACGCTCTTCCCCGAAGGCAAGTCGTGCGTTTTCTCTACAGCACCTTCATTGACTTTTTTTAAAAAAAAGAAAGCTTAGATTTCAGCATGCTAGCTCCCCCTACTTAATTTGAAATCGGACACTTACGGTCTGTCTATTGCAGCTTTAATCAATACTGTACGTTTACACATGGGGTGACGTCTGCGCTCTTTCATCTCGCTGGTGTCTGGTGTTCATAGGAGTGTGAGAGGCTGGACACAGACTAAACTTATCCAGTTTCCAAGATGCCATCAGTCAAGTCATGGGCTGATGTTCAGTGACTCTACAGTCCACTGTTTCAGGGCGACTGTGGTTCATGTTTGGAATTCTGTTCCTCGCAGGGTGTGTCAATATGTTAAACCACCTTGATTTTAAAAAAGTGCCACTTTAGAGGCTTGATGAAGCTTTTTCTGTAAGAACTGAAAGTCTCTCTGGCATTGAAATCAATTCGCAGCCGCAGTGTCAGTCATTCCGCAGACTGACAAGACACCTCCTGGCTAAGCCCTCAGTGCACAATCGATACCTTGAAGTGCACGCTGTCAGAGAAATACTCAAGATGATCAATCATCTCCTTCACCTGAGCTTTAATAGCTATCACCCCCTGGGAACAACACTAATCAATTTTCACGTTTAGTGGAGTCTCTGTTCTCTCAGAGCAGTCGTGTTTTTACTATGTAACATGCCCATTAAAAATGAAGAGGACATATTTCTTTATTGCATTTGCTCGGAAAACTAGTGAACGAAAAAAAAAACCTGGCCTGGATCAGACCATTAGCAAATAAAGTTTTCCATGACTGCTTTATGGGACACTCCTGCAATGACCTCTTCAGGACCGCTTCAGCCAGGTCTTTATTTCATGGAAGTGCTGGGGCAAGACAGGTGTTGAAGAAAATACCGCAACATGTGTGTTTGAACTACTGGAGTCGTATAGAATCATGTGCAGGCAGCTAGATATTCATGTACTGGAGTCACAGACCAGTATCCCCCTTTGCTTTCTCATAACCACTTCTGTTCCGTTACCAAACACACGCAGTGGACCTTATGACAGCACATAATGCTAATACTAATACTAATACTAATACTAATACTAATACTAATACTAATTTGTCTTCTTATAGAGGGGAAAAGAACTCTCAGCTCTCAGGACACAGGAAAAGGGAAAACTGCCATTTAATTTACACCCAGCCGCTAAGCCTCACTTAGAGTGATTACTGCCCAGGGACACTGCCTCCAAACCTGAAAGTTTTACAAGAAGCAGTGTTTCACACTGGAAAAGTGTTGGAAAATTTCAATTTTCTCAAGTTCCTGGTTGGTATTTTATGCTGCTTGGATCCAAGGGGTCCCTCGCAACCGCTTGGCAGTGCGTCTCGTTCGGGTGGGAGTACTGGAACTGGCTTTTCCTGCGCAGTTTATGTAAAATGCCCTGAGAGTGCTGTGTTTTGAAAAGTGTTCAGAAAGAATAAAGCTGACTGATTGATCGGTTGATTGGTGGATTGATTGATTGTTGATCGACTGACTGACTGGAGCAGCGAGAGCGATGAGGCCATGTGGGAGCCCCCGTCAGGGAGAGCGACCGCGGCGTCTTACCCGAGTCCAGGTGCCAGGGGTCGGTGGCGGCAGACATTGGAGGGATGGTGAGAGGGGAGGCCCCACAGTTGGACTCCACCAGCTTTCCTTGAACCGACACCGGCAGGCTGCCGCGGGACCTCAGCGCAGCTTTGAGGGGAGCGACGCGGTTGAACTGCACCCGGGACAGGCAGCCCACAAACCCCGGAGTGTTGTACTTCTCAATCAGGACCGGGTCGATCTGGCCCGTCTCTGAAAACCCAAAGCAAAGGTGGGTAGAATCAGTACACTGGTCTCCCACTGTGAATACCGAATCAGTACTGGTGTGAATACAGAATCAGTCCTCGTGACACTGGTCTCCCGCTGTGAATACAGAATCAGTACCGGTAATACTGGTCTCCCGCTGTGAATACAGAATCAGTACTGGTGACACTGGTCTCCCGCTGGGAATACAGAATCAGTACTGGTAATACTGGTCTCCCCCTGTGAATACAGAATTAGTACTGGTGACACTGGTCTCCCACTGTGAATACAGAATCAGT